AGGGGGGGAGTATCAAAAGATAAGATTAATCTATGCTGTCCTGACACTGGACAATGGTTTGGTGTTTTGTTTTTTGGGGGATTTTTTTGAGGGGTGAGGGGTGTGTCTTGGCTGAGATAGGGAGATGGATTTTTAGAGGCAAACGGATAGTTGTAGAGCTATTTTAAGTTTGTGCAGTTTGAAATTTTCAGCTGAGATGCTGTGAAAAGACAGATGCATAGACGACTAAAGACAAATGGCCTTGACCTTGCAATTGTTCTGACCTTAACCCCTGACCTCCAGCTACATCTCGTCCATGGGTGAGCCTGAGTTCTACAACAACACAGTGGTCACTTCCAACGATGTGGACGCACTGCTCACCAGATTGCCCTGTGACCACGCTGTGTGTATATACTTGTGTTTTGTTTGTGTGTGTAGATGCGTGTCGAGTGTACGTGACAATGTTTGTATGTGTGTGTGTGTGTGTGTAGATATGTATGTGTGTTGGTGTGTTTGATCGCAATATGTGCTCACTTGTGATTCGTTTTATATGTGTGTGTGTGTGAAGACACTTTTGTTTTTGTATGTGTGTTTGTGTGTGCATTAGAGATAGAAACAGAGAGAAATCTACATTTTAAAAATAATTTTGACCTTATCTGGTAGGACTTGTCAGTATGTTCTTGTTATCTTGTTATATTATGTTAGATTGGTTAGTTGAAGGGCACCCCAAACAGGTCTTACTTTTTTTTCTTGCCATCTGTTGCTTCTGTTCATCTGTCTTTATTTTTCTTTTTCCTAATACCACATAGCAGTTATTGAGCCGATGTGCTTCTCTTCACGAAGACTCAAACCTTGTACTATTAGTAAAGTTAACTCAGAATCAAACAAGACTGTTGTTGATTTTTCTTCTTCCAGAGTAACGACACGCTGGGAGAAATCTGCAGCTTCGTCAAGTATGGAGGGAACACGTACGTTTCTGCCACTTCATGATTTATTACTTGTAAAGCACATACAGCATACTGTAGGGTATGGAAATGCGCTATATATGCGCTATTATTGTAAGTTATTATTATGATTATTGCGTCATAACGCAACCAGACTGCCACCTGGTGGTTGCTTGTTGTGACAGTGGCCATAGTTTTATTTTGGCAGTGGCTTTGTGCTGTCTTTGCTCAGATGCATAGTTCACGGAGATTGTTTATTTTTTGTCTTTTCTTATGATCGAATGTGCTGTTAATTGACTCTCATTTACTGAACCTCATATTTTGTTCGTTGTATTTAAATATGAGTGATTCTCTCTTGGTCTGTGGATAGGAATATTTTTTTCTCTTTAATGCCACTACTTTGTTTATTTTGTATATTTTGTTTTTAAAGATTGTTTTTCCGATATGGCAAATGCAGTCTATAAGATGAAACATTTTGGAATAAAGAATTAACAAAAATTACAAAAGATAGGACACTAGATATTTATCCTGCACCAGAGAAATGCACACTGAGAATTGTGGAAAGGACAGTTTAATACTAAATTTTGCTTGTTTTCTTTAAGGGGAGACGTACACTCCCGGAAAATTTTTGTAAACGAATGACTTTTATTCAATTTCATGTAATTTTGCAAGGAGTTCATAGGTAAATAGAATGTACTAGGGGTGAATTTGTTGAATTTTTCTAAAAAATGGGTCTCTGTGGCGGCCATCTTGGATTTTCAAACCAGTTTCGTAGTGCAGAAGAATTTCATAGTAAATATTGAATTATCAGCCTGAAATTTGGCACACGAGTAGAAACCTATATGAACTGGGGATCTATGAAAGGATTTTGACCTATCTTTAAAACTAAAAACGTGAGCCCAAAGTCAGTGGACCCCCTAGAGTCAGTTGACGAAATTTCCGGGTACATATTACAAAAAAATGGAATATTTCCTTAAGTTACCAATATTTCCCAATTCCCTTTCATAGATCCCCAGAATCGATCTTAAAGCCCCTGTACACCAAATTTGAAGCTTCTGTAGTTTTTGAAAACTCCTTGCACCCAGGAGGTCACATATGTCAAAAAGTAGATTTTGAGAAAAACAGAAAAAACAGGGATTTTTAAATGGATTTTTAAAGCAATTTGCACTTTTCAAACGCCCTTTTAGGTCATTTAGGGTGTTTTTTCAACAGTTTCTTCATTTTGACTCGATAGAACAGATGTCAAAGGAAGTTTTTCCGCAAAAAACAAAAGTTAGATAGTTTGAAAAATTGTAACGATATTGCCTTGGATCGCTGACCCGGGTCTTCCCTTAAGGCAAGGAGCTGAACGCCTAGAACTATCAAACGTCAAAGTTCAATATTCATAGCTCAATGGATTGGAAAAGCTTTGATTTGTGAAGAAAACCCTAACTGTAGGCTGAATGTAAATATTTAATATTCCATCAACACAATTTTTTTGTCATGAACCAACCTGGACAGAATAGGATAAAAATTAAATATCCCAGCAGACAGGCAGAGACACTAAATAAGATTACTTCCCTTCAACCTTCATGCTGATAGATGTACAAATGTTTCTGTTGTGTTCTTTCATTTGGCGTCAGTAGTTTAGTGGCTAAGCTTCTGGACTCGTAACCATGAAGTTGCTGGTTTGGGGTTTGAGCCTCAGGCCTGACGTTGTGTGCTTGGGAAAGGCAAGGCACTTTACACGTATTTTCCTCACTTCACCTAGGTGGGAATGAATACCCAACCATGGACAGTGAAAGATCATGTCAATATGTTTGTGGTCTAGCACCTGTAAAATGGCAGCTTGCACTTGCTGTTGAACGGGAATTTGCGCTATACAAATGCTGTCTATTTGATCTACCTTTGGCATTATGTCTGGATGGTAAGCAAGTGCTCTGGTGTGGTCTGCCCCTTCTTGCCTCTAAAAGTTCTATCATCCTGACCCGTCCACCTTTTTTGTGTTTGTTACTCTTTTGCAACTCTTAAACTTCATCACTGAAAGGACCTTATTGAGTTGCAAGTGCTGTAAAACTTTACCAAAACAACACAAAATGTGACTCCCATTGTAATATGTCAGTTTTGTGTTCCATCACCAGCTACAAGACAGCCATGTTGGTTTACATGCTCTTCATGTTCTTCTGGCTGATGAACTTTGTCTCGGCCCTGGAGCAGATGACCCTGGCTGGAGCCTTCGCCTCCTACTACTGGGCCTGGGACAAGAAGAAGGATATCCCAGCATTCCCGCTAGGAAGCTCCTTTGGCCGCAGTCTAAGGTCAGCTGACCATGTGTTTGGTGTCAAAATTAATCGCAATAAGAATAAAAATAACAAGTGTTTGATTTCCCTTTTTTACCAGATACTGTATTTAACCTCTGAACCCCCCCCCAGTAAAAATAATTGTGTGGCGTTGTAGTGAAATCAGGTGCTGGTCAAAATAATTAAGTTATATATAGGTACCGGTACCGACCATTTTCCGTCCATTAGGTAATTTTTATTGAATTTTGTTTTGTTTTGTGCCCAATACCTTTTATTTGTCCATTCAAAAACACATTCCTTTGTTGACGTTGATCAAAGGCACAAAAATGTAAATTTGCGGTTTCTAAGAACACTACAGCTTTGGAAGTCACCAAACTTTAGCAGCCATTTTCTTGCTATATTTACTTTTGACATTGAGCAACCCCTGTGTCCAATGTCCTGACTTCTGTTCACGATAGTTGGGTATAATTTTCATCAAAAGCAAGGTAAATATAACTTCATATTCCCAAAATTAACGATGTCATTGTTCTTTTTGACACTGTCTAGCTTTTTCCCCGAGATTAGATATCTGGTATTGTGGCAATTGTTTCTCTCTCTCATACAGTCTGCACAATTGTTTTTTAAGTAGCATCATGAATATTTATGTCCCAGCTGTTGGACCAATATAATTATTCCAAAAAGTCATGTGATCACAGCACCATAGGGGGCTCTCGTGGCCTAGAGATTAGGTGTTCGCCTCTCCTTCAATAGGTCTCAGGTTTAAATTCGGATAGGGACAGAAAATTTACTTCTCTAAAATTTTTTGCTTTCACATCCTTTTCTGCTCCCTAACAATGTTCTGTCGTCTGCTTTTGTCTCCACATTCTGCCCCCACCCCCGCACCACCTTTGCCCCCTGCTCTGGGCTCCTGACTCTCTGCAGCCTTTCTTCTGCTTCTTCTTGGCTCTTTCTTACCGCTGTCTTTTAGCCACACCCCTGATCTTATGGGAAGTAAGATTTACACCTAGCCTTCTTGGACGAGGGCGAAAAATTTCGGAGGTCCTGTGTGCAAGTTGTCCACGTTAAAGATCCTTTGGTGGCCCAAAATTGATAAAAGTAGGCTTCGGTCGCCACCCGTGCAAAAATCAAAATTTCCTATTAACTGAAAATGTTTGGTGTGTCCTGCGTGCTCATATGACCTAATGCAGTTGCTAGCATCGTAAAACACTTACCAACCCCCCCCCCCCCCCCCTCCAAGATAGCAGCACCATATTTTGCTACCAGTTTTGAGATAAAACTTTTTTCCCCTCTTCCTATAAAAAAGTAAGTCTCTAGACTCTAGTTGTTTATGCCAAGGCTATCTTCTTGAGAAAAATTTTTTATGTTTCTATACAGAGATTTATGGGTTCAGTATGTCGGTGCTAATGTGATGTCTCCTTTTCTCACAATGTCTAAGGGAAAGTGTGTTCTTTGGTAATTTTTCTTTCCTCGATACCATATATAAAATGGAAGAAAAATTATCAAAGGCACAAAAAATGTAAATTTTTCAGTTTTCACGGAAGCTCAAGCTTTGGAAGTCATCCAACTTTGGGGATCTCTTTCTTTCTGTTTTTACCTCTCACACCATGCAACCCCTCCTCCTTCATTTACAGGTATCTCAACTTCCATTCAAGAAAGGAATTTATTTTTCATAGAAAGCAAGACAAATGAATACACTTTAAGATGAGATACCAATAACTCCATACGCCCAAGCATTGAAGTGCGCCTGATTCCACTGTGTTGTGACACATATTTTGTTGATTTGCTCCTCTTTATTCAAATGACAAATAAACATGAGTGGTTGGCAGGTGCTCTAGGATGGTTTGCTTCTTTTTATTCAAATGACAAATAAACATGAGTGGTTGGCAGGTGCTCCAGGATGGTTTGCTTCTTCTTTCCTATCAAACATCTATTGTCCTTGTCTCCCCTCCTTCTTTTTTGTGTTTGTTACTCCCTTGTAATACTTTTAATCTTTGGCGCTTACACGACCTGACTGTGTTGCAAGCACAGTTTAACTGTTGCTAAAACAAAAAAAGACAAAGCAAAACAATGAGGTGTTGATGTGTTTATCCATGTCCCCAGGTACCACATGGGCTCCTTGGCCTTTGGCTCCCTCATCATCGCCATTGTCCAGATGATCCGGTCGTTCCTGGAGTACATCAACAGGAAGCTCAAAGGCTCGGAGAACAGCGTGGCCAAGTTCCTTCTCAAGTGAGTTCTGGCTGGTCTGTTGATATTGTTTTGTTTGGCTTAGTTTTAGTTTTGATTGTGTGGCTCCATCATGTTCCTCTCTCTGTGGGTGGTTGGCGGGTGCTCCAGTGTATTTTACTCCTTCCTTCCTATCGTGGGTGGTTGGTGGGTGCTCCAGTGTATTTTACTCCTTCCTTCCTATCATGGGTGGTTGATGGGTGCTCTGGTGTGATTTGCTCCTTCTTTCCTATCAAACATCTATTGTCCTTATCTCTCCTCCTTGTTTTTTTTTAAATGTGTATGTTACTCTCTTGTAGCACATCTATTCTTCGGCACTTATTTAACAAATGACCTTATTGTGTTGCAAGTGCCGTAAAACTCGTACTAAAACTAAACTTTTTTCCTATCAGGCTTTAATTGTCCTTATTTCTCCACCCTTTTTTGTGTTGTAACTCGTCAAATCTTCTGCACCTGTATGACGTAATTGTGTCATGAGTGCGTAAAATGCTTATAAAAATTTAAGTAACTGATACTGTGCTCAAACTAAAAACTAATCTTGTTTTGCAGATGTCTGCGGTGTTGTTTCTGGTGCTTGGAAAAGTTCTTGCGTTACGTCAACAAGAATGCTTACATTCTGGTGAGTGCCTTTCTCTCCCTGATTTCTCCCTGGGACCTGATCTATTCCATTTCTAATAGAAGGATTGGATGACAAAGTTGCTACCTCCAAGAACCTTTTTTTTGTTTTCAGGAGACAAAGAAAACCCTGTCTGATTCTTGTTTTTGTAAACATTATTTCACGTGGTGACAGATTTTTTAAAAGCAAATAAAATACTTGAAGTTAGAGATACTGGGAGTATACTTTTTATCTTAGATGTAAGCATGTAGGTGTGGAAACAGCCAAAGAAATGTCACATGGAAAAAGTAAGTTCAGTGTGATGCAATATGGATGTAAACGATGTAGGCCATTAGCTTGGTTGGTATCAGTCTGGTCTATGTGTTGTGGATGGCCCTGGTTCAAAACCACAATGGGTTGTTCTATAACTTTGGTTATTTGACAATGACAATGACAATCTTTATTCATCTCGTCGGGAGAAATTTGTCTTGGTCGTTAACAATGGCAGTAGATGTTACAAAAGTTAGACTTAAAGGTGCACTCACGCAAACGCACAATAAAACAGGACATTAGGCCAAGTAAATACATGTCTCACGGGCTGGACAACCCGCTCCGTAAAACATTCATT